GTCATATGAGTTGCCTCTAAAGATGGTACATTTTGTTCGTGCAAGGGTAGTCGTACTGAACAAAGGCACAATTGGTTAAATGCACAACGCGTACAGTAATTTTTCAGGTGATAAAGATAAACAATACCATGAAGAACTGTTTACGGAATGATGCTTTGAAATCTTATGAAATATATCTCATGGTTCATATTATTCGTCCGTTCACGTGCAATGATCTCCAGTAAGTTATTCACAAGCTGAGGACTGCGATTATGCGCTACGCCACGGCTTGCCCAGATGAAGATGAAGATGAAGGTTCATATTACTTAATAGCTATTTCGGAATATCGGAATTATGTTTTGCTGTATAGTTGCATGCAGGTAGTTGCAGGTTCAGTTGAGGTTTGAACACGTCCTTGTTCAGCGCAATCAATAGATGTTGCTTGGCACCAAATACACTGCAAAGGTGAAATGCCCTTCAGTGGGGGCTCATTCTGACGGTCTCGTAGGCGACTACAAGCGCCCAGGTAAATGTGGTATCAGCAATTGACATGTTATGATTTCTGGTGGAATTGTAAAGCAACTATTTGGTAACTACCATATTCAGTACACTATATAGATTCGAATGCTTAAGTGGGTATGTGGTGTCCGGAATACTTTCATAAGAGGCACTAGGTGAAACCACAATTACAGAAAAGCTAATCGAATGAAAGATCCGTTAATTCGGTCACGTGAAAAAATCATCCAATGAATATGTGGGAGGCGTAGTCTAAGCAGTAACTGTCATAACAGCGTTAGGTGATAAAGAACTATATGAAACTGCAGAGTGACAAAAAAATTCTATAAACAATCGAACAGTGTGGAGTGTTTGTTCGAAAAGGGGGCTCCTGTTAAAAGAAACATGTTAACAAAAACATGAAACCACGTCGGCAACATCGCTCGAAGTACAAACGGCGGAATACTTACATACGACCAAGAAAGGCATGGCGGAGATCACTTCGCAGAACTGAACACCGCACAGACTCAACAGACCAATGGTCGTAGACACGCCCATGCCTGCGCCTATGACTCCGGCGAAAGCCAGCCACGGTGTGCTTCTCGTCCAGTCCACCCATGGAATCCTGCTCTTCCACATCAGGGTCACGGTGCAAAGCAGGGTGTAAATGATCAGAACGGCGAAGGTGATGGGAATTTTCGGCGCAAGGTATAGGCCGTTTTTAGACATCTCTGAGCTTAGCGTCTGCGAGTGCGAGAAGGTCACTTCAAGGGTTGGATGCTTAAAGTTGAGCAGGTGTGCTTCGAGCTCTTCCAGCCATTGAATGCCGAGAGCGCTCTCGGTTGGCGTTTTGTGGCTAAGCTGGTACACCAGCAACCATGCTCCAGCATCGCGCACCTCACCAGTTTCCTGGTCCACATGTACGTCTCCCAAGGCACTGCCGATGTAGTAACGTACATGATGATAGGAGAATCGAGGATAGGTCAGCTTCGCGTAGGGGGTCGGCTTATGGTAGATGGCACTAAGAATGGCGATCTGGTTGTTCTCGTGGCACCGGTTTTTCCATTTCATGCACAGATCGACGTAACGGTACTCGTTCCCGCCAGCCGTAATCTACAAAAGAAACATCGGGTGAAGCACAACTGTGAAAATGCATGCATCTTTATCTCTGAACCATTTGTCTGAAGATGACCGGTAGAAATTTTGAACTAGAGAAGTGTACAATTTCGAATTACTACAGTTGACAATAAGTTAATAATCCTATGTTGTACAGTGCATTGTTCCGCTCCAGTAAAATCAACTTAAGTCGATGCTGTGCAAGCGGACAACGATCAGCGTAACGGATCACATGTCAAAGGCGAAGCCTGAGTAATGAAGAGATCTTGTAATCAGTGATATGCTGGATTCACACGCTGCTGTTGCCTCACTTCGCATGTCCATTCCGTTTTTTAACGAAAGTGACGATCGGGCCCGACAGAAATTCACAGGTTATGTCGAACGACATGTCTTCCTGCTACTTCTAGTTTTCAATTCATAATACCAGAAAATAAGCGAAAGGAACTGTGCACAGAACTACGGAACCAATCAACAAGAAGACATATAAAGCAGAATTAATTTGTGGATCTCACTCTTCGGCCCATGGAGATAAAGAACTAGTTTCAAACTACAGATGAGCCCAAAATTAGCAAAGATTTTATTCATAACGGAGTTTCAGAGGCACCGCACGGTGTTCATTTATCAAGGAAGAGAACTGTTCCAAGTAAGCAAAATTTCTACTATTTTTTGGCATATCCGCCGCTTGAAACTTCTGTCAATACAAAACAGAAATTTTACACTTCACACTGCTTTGCCAGGGGTTAATATTGGGGTTGTTTTAATCTGCTGAGATCATCACCTTGCACTAGTAGTTTGCATAAGCAGAATGTCTTTCATGCGTGATGCCCGCTGTATTCACAGCTTTTCAACCCTTTTACAATAGAATACCTGCCACTGCGTAATAGAAGGAAATGTTCCTCTCCAAATGCAGATCTGCCTCAACCTTATTCATGAATGTTTCATACTGGCCTCCTAGTCGACCGTGTTTCGGCTCACATACGAAAACCCATTGCCTAGAGTAAACGGTTGATACTTATCAGTTTGTCTAACAGAGCCACTCCCGTTTTCCTAATTTCCGTATCTACTGAGGTCATCCGTGGCCAGAAAAGAATGGAGTAATTTTTTGGTACCCTTGCTATTTAACCCTCATCATGAGTTCATTCGTTGAAAGCTAATGCTGCTGTACGCGATTAAATTGTCGTTATTAATCCTTCTTTGATATATGTATCTCAATGCCATAAAGTAGCACTGATCTAACAGAAAAGTAACAGTAGGCTTTCCTGGTAGAAACATTCCTTTATCAGTCAAAATACTGGACAAGTTCTCAGAAGCACTCAAGGCAACGACGATCTTCATATATAACTCTGTCTGGGTAGCGCCTTCGCTGGAGATAATTGAACCTAAATTGATTAATCTGTTAAATGGGTCAATTTTAGGGTAACAGAAATGTTAAATGGGTAGCACAATGATGTTCATGTCATGC